CGACAGCAGCTGCATCGAGGTACCGGCGCAAGTAGCTGTCATCGAAGTGGCCAGTGTCCTGGCTCTCGGTGCCGATTACGTTGCGAGCTGGGCCTCGAAGAGTGCCAGTGGCCCGGCAAGTCTGGCCGCGGTAGTCCTCCGTTGAGGCCGCGCTGAACGCCGACCCCGTCGCTCACTTGAGCGATGGCCTTATCTCGCCAGTCACTCTGGGCGGCGCTGGGAGTGGCCCCCCGAAATTCGGGGCCCGGGTTTACAAATCGCCTGATGGCGTTTGCTCAGGGAGAATCAATCATCCTGGCGCCACGACCCAAGACCACCTCAGATGTCGCGGATTCCGAAACTGTGATCTTTGAACGACCATCCTCCAGCGAGAGATTTGCCCACTTGCGCCGCGTCGATGCGAGGCCGAGAATGGCTGGAAGATGCCCCGCATTACTTTCGGCGATATTGGCGCTGAACCCGCCCGTGCGAGTCGGCCCCGACCTTTCCTGGAAATAATTACGCGCGGAGTGGAACGCGCCAAGGTTGCGGCACGCGGCCGATCCGCCCCCGACCCCACTGATATGCAAGATCTTTGCGAGGTCGAGCACGCGATGCGCACAATCATGCGATTGAGGCGTGGATTCAAAGTGCAGCGCCGTGTTCAGACTCAGAATGTCGACATTGGAATTGATGTCCACAAGGGGGCCCGCTTGCCGGGGATCTGCGTCGTCTTCCCCGTTGCATGTACGCATGCATTTATACATGCTGGCCCCCGAAACTCGTGGTCCACTGGACAGTCTCGGAACCCAACTACCGTTCGAGACGACGCTGGATGACGACCCATGCTTGCGTCGTTTTGCAGGTAGTCGCGGGGCCCCAGTTGGCTACGACCCAATGCCCTGTGGACATGCCTGTCATAGGTGAAGGACGGATGCATGCCCTCTCTGGGAGTAACCGCGCTAATTGCTGTGCCGCGAAACATGAAAATGGAAGCACGCTCGTAGAACGTCCGCCCCATTTCAACTTCGCCGCGCCTGCAGGCGCTTACTGATGAACCCACTCGGCTGTGACGGCTCGTGACCGAGCTGGGTCGGCGGTTGCGCCTCGCCCCCTCCGCAGCCGCCGATTTTCTAAGCGGTCCAGCAGTGAATTGTTGACCCCGCCCAGCGGTCTAGCAGGTGCCCCGCAGCCTGGAGAAGCGTCATCTGCGTCAGCTCTACGAAGAGGGTGGCTGGGACTTCCTGCGCGGGCGCAGCCGCGATCGGCCTTCTCTCGCAGCTCGTGGCCGGGCTTGGCGTGGGACTCCTGAACAGCACGTCGTCGAGAATCCTCCGTAGCTCTGTTTTTGCCTGCGGCCGTGCATCGCTGTCGTCGAAGAGACAGCCTGCTCGCGGCGGCCGGCGCCGAGCCTTCGGGCCGCAGTAGTGCCGGGGCCGCGGCAAATGGCGCACGGCGCTTCGGCAGCCGCCCCTTCGACGCCGCTGCCGACGCGCGCGCAGCGCGGCCCCAGCAGAGAAAATGGAACTGGCGGCGCACTGCGAGATCCACGCGAAGCCCCGCGGCGTGAACGGTTCCAGGCACAAAGCACACTGCGTGAACCTATGTCGGAGGCCGAAAGGCGCATCTGCCGCCGGACGTGTCCGCCACACCGCGCTGGGCGCATTGAATAGCGCGCGCCTCGCCATGCGCTGACGCGCCTGTCGGCGGGCATCTTCGGCGGCTTCCACGCTTGAACACAAAGCGCGGCGGCGGCGGTCCTATGGGCTCAGGCGCAAGCACGCGCGTCCGCTGAACCGCCGTTTCAAGGCCCGCAAGCGGGGGCGGGCCCCCCTCGCGCGGGAGTGCCGCTTGTCGGGTGCGCGGGCAGCCCGCGGGCGGAAGATCTCGTCAGCCACCCCCCTCGCGCCCCTGTTCTGGGCGAGAAGACCAGCCGTCGACGCCCCCGGGCCCGGTTGATCCTCTGGCGGCTCCACCAACCCGCCCACTGGGGGGGCAGTTGGGATGTGCCGCGAAACTGGCAGACAGGGCAACGGATCATGACTCTCTTCTGCTGGACTGGCGTTCGGGGTCCATTTCCACGGAGGCCCCCAGCCAGTCCTATCGCCCACGTCAATTCCCTAGAGGCGCATCTCGGCCAGGGCAGCATGGCGTTGCTGTCGCGCAAAGCGCCGCCGATCTTGGGCCGAGAATTCGTGGCCCAGCTGATGTGGTAACGGCTCCGGGGTCGGTGCCGGCGTCGGCGGGCTGCAAGTGGCCTGACTCTGTTGCCGCGGCGCCCCGCAGGGCGCGACGCAATGGCCCTCCTTGCGCCCGCCAGCTCTCGTTAATGCCGCAAGTTCGCTATCCGTTGGATCGCGCCATCATTCCGAACGCCCTCGGACACGCGGCCGCGCGCTGCGACTGGCCCGAGGGCCTCGGCTCGAACCGCATGGAGCGGGCGTGGGATGCCATCCCGCGCCCACTCTATGCGGTACGACGGTAAAGGCCGACGCGAACCGAAACACATTGCTGGCCCCGACGGTGCCATGACGTTTTTGATGCGTCAATCGGAAACGGCATCACCTAGGAGGCTGCCGAACCTATGTCCGACTAAACCCCAGTGGCTGCTGTCTGTTAATTGGCAGGTGCCCCCGAGTTACCACCAGGAATGTGAAGGTTTCTCGCTGCAAAGCGCCCCCTTCGTTCGTGCTCGCGCCCAATTCGTGCTTCCTCTGTCGCATGGCCCAGGCGCGGATGAGGTCTGCCTCCGTCAGCGGGGTCGGCTGGCTGGCACCGGGGCCACTGCGCTGAAGCTTCTGCCATGCCTCATGTACGTGCTTCTTCTTGAGGCCCACCAATTGTGTAACAAACTATGAGGGATGACGCCTGCCGTCATCGCTGATCGTTGACGGCCCTCCTGATGCGCGTGCCATCGCGCAGGAGGAGGGGCATCGCCATGGAGATCAAAAGTTCAACATCCGCACGAAAGCATGAGGACGCGCTGGCATCGTCGGGAATGCCTGAACACCATGGATGAAAAACTGGCTTTTTCTGGCCCTTGAGACAATCCTGGTCTAGGCGCGAAAAGCCGTTATTCGTGCAATTGTCTATTTACTCTCAGCGCGTGCCCTGTATAAGACGGCGGGGTCAGTTTCCTTGCCAAGCGGTGCCCCAAGGAAGAACAAGGATTTGAGACTGAGAACCTGTGGCCTTGAGTGGGTGGACGCTTGTGGCTCGTACGTGAAGGACGTTTCCGCAAGTGTGCATCGCTCAAGCTGCGAACGCCCCTTCTGCGCGCCAAACGATCGGGCATCTCGGCGAGGTAGCATGAAGCACGTGATAGACTACGTGTTGGTTGCGCATCCACACGACCTCCAGATTCCTGTGTTGGGCCCAGTGGACGTGGTTGACGGCGTCGGCAACGGTTATCAAACCTTCGTGTTTGGGCCCGCGTCGCGGAAATAACTTTGGAACCTGTTTTCAGTCCGGTCCTGGCTGCATGGACGGCAGCGACGCGTGGTCGAACACCATTTTGACAACACGGTTGTCACATGCTGGCTGAGCACACGTTCGTTGGCTCGCTTCATGCCTTCCTGCCGCCAGCAGGGCGTCATCGATGTCGAGGCGAAGTGGTGGCTCTCGTCGCAGTTGGTTGCGGATAAACTGCTTGCTCAGCTCGCAGGGTGCACGCACAAGGAAAACGATCGTGCAGGGCGAACATGCTAGCAGCATGTACGTGTCATCGTGGAGACGATGACACGTACACGTTGCTCCTCCTCCTCATCCTCCTCCCTCGCCCTCTTCCTCCTCCTCCAACTCATTCCTCCTCTTCCTCCTCGGGCGGGACCGCCCTTTCAGGACATGCTCACCCTGGAAATGACCTGGGGGGAGGCGGTCCCACTGGGGGTCTTCCTTGAAACCACTGCTGTTCCAGCTGAAGTTTGGCTCTCGTCGTTGAGCCAGCGCTCTGGATGGTGGGCGCAGTGGAGCCTGCCCCCCCTTGTGTCGGTTCAGGTCGCGGGAGCCCATGCCTGCATGCACTGGTGGGAGCGCGACGTCCTTGGCCTTCGTCAGCTCGTCCATGATCGAAGCGTTTAGGAGCGTCGTCGGTGGCGACGCCATGGAGGTCTGCGTCTTGGAGCGTCGTTGCCCAACCACTGCCGCGATGCTCGCGAGCCGACTGGGATGTCCCAGAGCGGGCGGCCATTGGCTCTTGCGGCTGGGGCGTAGATCTGCCCTTCGAACGCAGCAGCCTTGCTTGCCGCTCCGGCAGCCTTGCTTGCCGCTCCGGATCAGATGGAACGCCCGCGCAAAGGCCGCCTGGCACTCTCTTTAGAAAGTGCAACTGGTGATTCCGCGGGCGTAGCAAAATGTTTCTTGCCAGTCCTGTCGGCCCCGACACACGTCGGTCCCCTTAGCCGGGGACTTCCAGAATCTTTCCCTTTTCCTTCGCCTCCTCCGATCCTGACCCCCCCCAGATCGAATTCTCGCCCTGGTCGCAGCTTCTTTTCGGGAGGGGGTCATTCATCGGAGGGTCCTCCTTCTTGTCCTCGTCGGCTGGGAAGAGGTCTGGCGGGTCGCCCTCAGGAGCGGCGGCGATAGAGCTGCCCGCGGTCTGGCCCGTGTTTGAGGCGCCTGTCACGGGATATCCCACCAATACGTTCGCTGACGTTAATACACTCGGTGTCGCTCGTTAAGTGGTAGTTCCGCTGGTACTTCTCCAGGCGGCGGCTCTGACATTGCACGCACTGGCATTGCCGCCGGACTCGAACTGACCTGTGCGAGCCCTCCGCCCCAAGATATACCGCTCTCTCTCTCTCTTTCTCACTGTCCCCCTCTCTCTCTCGCTGTCTTCCTCTCTCGCTCGCAAACTGTCTCTCTCTCTCTCTCTCTTTGTGTTTCTCTTCTCTCTCTCTCTCTCTCCTCTGTCTCTCTCTCTCTCTCTCTGGACCACCTTTGGCCGGTCACTAACGCCCTGTCCCACTGCACCCCGCACCGTCCTGGCTCACCTCCGCCTGCGCGTCGGCCACTGGGGCCACCTATGCGCCGATGCCCAGGCCGATGCCGGCCGCTGTGAGGTAGATGGGCCGCTGTCCAGCCACCACCGTCTCTCCTGCGGGAGGAGGGCCAGGAGGGGAGGAAGCGGAAGGGAGGAGGGGCCAGGAGGGGAGGAGGGCCAGGAGGGCCAGGAGGGGAGGAAGGGGAAACAAAGGGGAAGCGGAAGGGGAAGGGGAAGGGGACGCGGAAGTGGAAGTGGAAGCGGAGAGGCCAGTGGGGCGCAAAGGCAGGCGAGATGGAGGAGGGAGAGAGGGGGCCGAGGGGTGGGGTAGAAGAGAGGAGAAGAGGGGGGACGGGAGGCCCCCTCCCCTTCCAGTCGTCGCGCCCCGCCCTGCTCCTCCCCAATTCCCCCTCCTCGTGCGGATCCTCCGCTCTCTGCTGCTCCTGCCCCTGCCCCTATCCTCCTTCTGTTTCCCGTGCTTCTCCTCCCCCCCCCCGCCTCCTCCTCCGAGCCTTTATCCGCTCCCTCCGCCTCCTCCTCTTCCTCCTCCTCCTTCTCCTTCTCCTCCTCCTCCTCCTCATCATCAGTCTTTCCCTCTCCCGTCTCCTCCTCCTTCTCTTCCTCCTCTTCCTCCTCCTCCTCCTCCTCCTCCTCATGTTGCCTCTGTGTCTGTCTACCTCCTCCTCCTCCTACTCCTCTGCCTGCGCCATCCGCCACCTCTTCCGGCCCCTCCTCCTCAACCGTTTTCTTGTCGCGGACCCAGCGGGCGCGCAAGCCGGTCGAGCAACCAAGCGAGGCTGGACGGCCAAACAGACGGGCACTGCAAGAGGGCGGGGGCAAAATACCAGTGCCCCAGTTAATCAAGCCTCCCTCCCCTTTTTTCATTCCTCCTACTTATCTCTGGCCAAAGCAGTTTTGGTCGGCGGTGGGGGGCGGCGGGGCCGAACTTGATCCGCGCTGGAAGTCCTGTGAATCGCAGATCCAATATCCTTATCATGGTTATCAGTATTCTTCAATATCAGCATCATCATCATCATCATCATCATCATCATCATCATCATCATCGTCATCATCATCATCATCAGCATCATCAGCATCATCAGCATCATCATTAGCATCAGCATCGTCATCACCAGCATCCGCACCAGCATCACCATCACCACCATCAGCATGGCCATCACCATCATCATCATCACCATCATTATCATCATCATCCTCATCATCATCATTAACATCGTGACCATCATCACCATCACCATCACAATCAGCACATCATCATCATCATCAGCAGCAGCAGCAGCAGCAGCAGCATCAGCATCATCATCATCAGCAGCATCGTCCTCATCATCCTCAGCACCATCCTTCTTATTACCATCACACGGTTCGAGACCCCATAGGGAGCTCAAAGCCTTGCTCCTTCTCCAGCCAGCTCCTGCTGCTGCTGCTGCCCCTCCTTTTCCTTTATGTTGTGGCCTGCCAAACTAATTGTTCCATCTATTTCTTGGGATGGGGAACATGGGAGCCGACCACATGCTTCCACAGCTGACGCCAATCTCTTCACTAGGGGCTGTGGCGGACAAACAACTTGCGCTACAAAACGCAACTGTTCAACCAACAACTCGCGCGCAAAGAAATAATCGCAGAGACGATTTTTCCAGAGGGGAACGATTGCGTGACGAGAGCCGGCAACACTCCAGTGCAGACAAGTAAGCAAGAGCCTGCAATAGCCCCAGACTGGGGGGGGGGCAGAGGGAGGAAGGAGGAAGGGGAGGAAGACCAATGAGGAGGACGAGGAAAAGGAAGAGATGAGAAGCACAGACCGTGCGGTGGCAACCTAAACGGTCCTAGCTCAGGTCTAGACACTGCGAGACACAAGCTGCCGTCCAAAGACCATGCACGAGCCAACCTGCGATAGGCGAGCAAAGGTACGAGCTGAATACTGCGCGCCGTGCACCTACAGTTGTGCACCCGAATATTGCGAGCCGTAAATTGTCCATCCCTCCCCACCCTCGGATTATCGGAAGACTCCGGGTTAACGCAGGGAGGCTTCCTCCTCGTTAACTTGGATTGCCACGACGGATGCTAAGAGGATGGGGGCGGTATCAGTGGATGGCAAGAGGTCGGTTATATCTGGCCTGGCGTAACTGATGGGTGAGCTTCGAAGTGCCATAAACGTCTTAGGCAGGAAACGATACGGTCCAAGTGGACCCCTCGTCCACTGAACAGAGCTGTCCAAGCCCAGTCTGTCACTTTTTCCGTTTCCCTTCCTTTGGGGGCGGCCCCAGAAGGAACCGCCCCAGCAAGTCCCACGTGTTCAGCCACGATGGGAGCCCGCCGCGGGTGGCGCTACTGCCACTTCCGCCACCGCACTGGGCTCCACGGCAGTCCTGCCCACCTCTGGCGGGGCAGAGGACGAGGGGGCGCAAGAGGGGCGCCCACCCCTAGCGCACGATAAAACTCCTCGGGGTCCTCGACCTCAGAATGGACCGAACGGAGGCCCTCCACCCAACCCAACTCCCGAGGCTCCCGCGGACGGGAGACAGGAAAAGGGGGGCTGTGGGGTCGCGGGCCCCATGGCTGCCAGGCTCGCCCTCCGACCGAAGATGACAACGACTACGACGACGACGACGCCCACCGCCAGCCCGTCAGTGCGCCTGCTGCGGCTCGACAACAACTAGACCGTCGGCAATGTTCGCCGTCCGCGGCGCAGCGGTCTTCCGCTAAAGCTAACGATATACACCTCCACCTCCACCTCTTCCAATTTCCTCCATTGTCCTTTTCCCTCCACCGAACGGCCTTCCGCTAAAAGGATATACTGGAAAACCATGAAAAATTCGAAAACAATAAGCACGCCAGACACATGTAGTAGATATCAAAAAATTAAGTTCCATACGTTCCAAGCAACAAACCCCCACCATCAACACATGCACACATATGTAATCATATGTATAATTGATTTGCAACATGTGTGTCATCGAACATGCTGCGAATGCAATCAATGCTGTGTTAGATTGAGTAAAGATCAGTGCCGTTCACATACAATTGTAATCATTATTGTCGCTCAAGTGCCGTCAATTGTCTCAGTAGCGTCTTCACTGGGAATCGCGTCTTCACCTGGAATCGCGCCTTCACCGGGGATAGCGTCTTCACTGGGAATATAGCGTCTTCACCGGGAATAGCGTCTTCACCGGGAACAGCGTCTTCACCGGGAAAAGCGCCTTCACGCGGAATAGCGTCTTCACAGGGCATAGCGTCTTCACCTGCAATAGCGTTTTCACCCAAGATAGCGTCTTCACAATGAGTAGCGTTCACCAGGAATAACGTTTTCTCCGGGAATAGCGCCTTCACCGGGAATAGCGTCTTCACCCAGGATAGCGTCTTAACTTCACCCGGAATAGCGCCTTCACAGGGAATAGCGCGTTCACCCGGAATAGCGACTTCACAGCGAATAGCGTCTTCACTGGGAATAGCGTTTTCCCCCGGAATAGCGTCTTCATGCGGGAATTACTGTCTGTGTCCGCAGAACGCTTCTTCACCGGGAATAGCGTCTTCACCCGGAATAGCGTCTTCACCCAAAATAGCGTTCTCACCGTCTTCACCCGGAATAGCGTCTTCACCCGGAATAGCGACTTCACCGTCTTCACCGGGAATAGCGTCTTCACAGGGACGCGTCGTCACAGGGAATAGCGTCTTCAAATGGCGTCTTCGGCGCTGGCGCGAACTGGGAGCCTTGGTTGCCGGGGCAATGTATATATATATACATATATATATATATATATATATATATATATATATATCGGAAATCCCTGAGAATCGGCGGGCTTGGATGGTGTATCGGGCGCCGAGGCCGCGTTCCGGAACATTCCGACAGCGTTCCGGAACGCTCTGGAACGGATTCGCCTCGATTCTAGGCCCGTGCGACTTCCTCTCCTCATCTACACCCTTTCGTTCTCTCGTGGAGGGGAGAAGGTGCGGAGAGGAAGGGGAGAAGGTGGATGTTTAGACCGACGTTAGTGCAGATCTTGTGAGGAGCATGAGGGAAGGAGGAGGAATGGAGATGAGAAAGGAGGATGGGAAAGAGATCGCAAAAGAGATTCTGAGGTCAAGGCGAGAGCGTTCAAAACCCTCGCGAGTTCGGACATGGCGCTGAATTAGAACTGGTTTAGATTCAACCTCATCATGTTCCTCTCAGTATTCCTACTCAACCTCATCACTATCATCCTACTCCTCCTCCTGATTATCCTCCATTCTCCTCCTTCTCGACGCCCACCCCTACCACCACTCATCGATATGGTCCTTCTTCTCTTCCTGCATCGTGTAATTTTTGTTCGAGGAGGTTTGGCGGCGAATCTGGGAGGAAGGAGGTGGAGCTTCGGACACGCGAACGTTGAGACCCTGGGAAGCGGGAGGCGGCGGTCACGATCTGCGCCAACTCAGACGAAGCGCTGAACTGGAGCAGGCCTTACACCCAATATCACTCATGCTACGCTGCTGTACCGCCAAGGTGGCGGGATTTAACGCAGGCAGCTGGGTGATCAGCCTCACCTGCGTGGGCGCACGGCTTCAAGCAGCTCGCATTGTAGGTACCTTACGGCGCATGATGCGAATACCCTTACAACAGGCACGCGGCCGCAAGACACCCTCGCACGAAATCCAGCCCTGAAACGCAGGGTACCCTGGGCGCAACACCTTCTTACAGATCGGGGGATGTCACTTCGCATCGCTGGGAACGAAAACCGCAGGCATCCTGACACATTGCAGCAGGTGTTCTTGGTGCTCGTCCCTACTGTTTTGAGGCTTGCAAAAAACCTTATGCCAAAGGGCGATCCTCCAAATCCCTGCGACCTCTCGGGTCCGCCGTGCGTGAGCTGAGATGGGCTCGCGGCGTGGGCTGGGAAGCGGGAAAAGACGACGTCGCCGACGACGACGACGGCGACGACGACGGCAACGACAACGACAAAGAGCACGACGAGGATGCTTTGAAAAGACCACGTGCGCAGAACGGCCCTCCCTTCCCGGCCGCAGCCCGAGACTTTGCCGGAAACGGTGGCGCCAACGCTGTGCAAAGGACGGCAGGTCTGCGCTGGATCGGATCGCGAAATCGGATCGGATCGATTCGCCAGCGAATTGGCTCGGTATCAAAACGCCGCGCTCCGCTTCTGGCTGGCCGTGGCCGACGAAAGGGAATAGAGCCGGATCGCATCCAGTTGGAATCGCGGCCCAAGCCGGCGAATCGAATCGTATCGAATCGGATCGTACGCAGCCCTGGAGGGTCGACCTGCCCGACGGGTCCCCGCAAGAGCGCCCCTCGCGACACGAGGCGGCGGCGCCGCTAGGCGTCCTTCGGCCCCGTTGGAGCGGGCGTGCAGGTCGCGCTCCTCGCCACCGGCGGAGGGCGTAAGGGAGGGAGGGAGGGAGGGAGGAGAGGGAGAAGCAGAGGGAGAAGGAGGAGGCGGAGGAGGAGGAGGATCGAGGGGGAGGATTCGCTCGCAACGTATAGTCGAATCGGCCGAGGGCGAGGCGAGGAGGAGGAGGAGGAGGAGCAGGAGGAGGACGCGACGCGGCAGCTGCCGCCATCGCCGCCGACCCGCTGCCGCCGGTCGCCCGTCGCCGTGGGCGCCGAGGCGCTGGCCCTGCCCTGCCTCTTTGGTCAGCCTCCCCGGTCTCCGGTCCTCCCTCGCGCGCTCTCCACTCCTGCGCCCTCTGCTGCCGCGCGTCTCCTCCTCCTCCTCCTCCTCCTCCTCCTCCTCCTCCTCCTCCTCCCCTCCTCCCCTCCCCCTCCCCCCTCCTCGTCCTTGCCTCCCTCCTCCCCCTCCCCTCCCCTCCTCCTCTCCTCCTCCTCCTCCTCCTCCTCCTCCTCCTCCTCATCCCCCTCCTCTCCTCTCCTCCTCCTCCTCCCTCCTCCCTCCTCCTCCTCCCTCCTCCTCCTCCTCCTCCTCTCTCCTCCTCTCCTCCTCCTCCTCCTCCCTCCTCCCTCCTCCTCCCCCTCGCCTCCTCCTCCTCCTCCGCCTCCTCGTCCTCCTCCTCCACTCCTCCTCCTCTCCTCCTCCTCCGCCTCCTCCTTTTCCTCCTCCTACTCCTCCTCTCCTCCTCCCTCCTTCTCCCCCTCCCCTCCCCTCCCTTCTCCTGCTCCTGCTCCTCCTACTCTTCCTCCTCCTTGCCCCCCCTCTCCTCCTCCTTGCCCCTCCCCTCCTCCCCCTTGCACCCGGACTCCTCCGCGCTCCTCTTTCTGGCGCGCCCCCTGAGCCCAGAAGCGAATCGAGGAGTCGGATCGGCAACCGACGTGAATAAATCCTTGCAAAATCGTCAGCCGAGTCGGGAGATGCATAATCGGCGGAATGTATGGGGGTGGGGGTGCGACGCTCCGCCCTAGAGCGTCGGGAGGTCCCCCCAAGATATGCGGCCCTGGCGAACAGAGGCCCGAATGGAGACCCATGCCAAGAAACATCCTGCTTGCCTCCGGGGTGCTCTGGGTTTCTTGGGTTTCGATGGTTTTGCTATGGGAAGCGTGATGTTCCCACCTCAAATATCAATGGAGGTCATGGGGTCTCAGGGTTGGCTTTCTTGTGAAAGGTTTCTTGTGGTCGGTCTCCTACTGCAGACACACATACCAAACTTATTTTTCTGTTTTCCAATTTTTCCTGTGGTGTTGTCTCCCCCCACTTCCCATATGTTCCCATATTCCCCTGGGAAACAAAAGTCTATTGTGTTTGCGTTTACTTCGTGTCCCTCCTGATGACTTTGTTGTCAGCACGAGCCCCCCGAAATCCCGACATGTTCCCTGGGACCCGCCTGCCGGCATGGATCCATTTTCCCAACCATCCTTTGGATTCTCAAATTGGACCTTCCCGTCCCACTCCCTGCTCTCTCTCTCTCTCTCGCTCTCTCTCTCTCTCTCTCTATCTCTCTCTCTCTCTCTTCTTCTCTCTCTTTGTTAGTTTTTGTTTTTCTCTCTCTTTCTCTCTCTCTCTCTCTCTCCTCTTGTCTCGTACTTCTCTCGTGCCTGCCTCTGAGCTCGCCATCCCTACGGGGCTGCGATCTGCGAAAATGTCGCCACTTTCGACGGCTGCTGGCGGGGCAGCATAGGGTCGCCATACGCGGACTCTGATTGAATCTCGCCGTCCCTTGGGGGCTGCGATCTGCGAAACTGCCGCCACTTTCGACGGCTGCTGGGGGGGAGGTCAGCAAAGTGTCGCGATACCCATATTCAAACTAGACCTCGCCATTCCTGGGGGGGTGCGATCTACTGAACGGTCGCCACTTTCGAGGGCTGCGAGGGGGGCCAGCGCAATGTCGCCATATCCATACTCATGTAAGGGGGGGGGTGCGACCTGTCAAGATGTCGCCACTTTTTTCGAGGGCTGCGAGGGGGGCCAGCGCAGCGTTGCCATACCTAAAATTATAGTGAATGTCACTGCTTTGGGAGGCTTGCGATCCGTCAAGCTGTCGCCACTTTCATGGTGTGCTCGGAGAGCCAACACAATCACGCCAGACCCAGACTCGGGCTCGATCTCGGAACACCCTGGGGGGCTTCGATCTGCGAAACTGCCGCCACTTTCGGCGGCCGCTGACACGGGGGCCCGCACAGCGTCGCCATACCCAGATTCAGGTTCGACCTCGCCGTCCGTGGGGCCTGCGTTCTGCGAAACTCCCTTGTATTACGCCTCCTCCTCGTCTCCCCCCAAGACCTCCTCAGCTTACCTTACCCCCCTCCTCCTCTCTATCCTGAATCGGGCCTGTCCTCCTACAGGGGGGGTTTGGACGAACACTAAAAAATACTCAGAACATACACCCAAATGGTCAAACAATACTCAAAAATAGTCACCATACTATTGTTTGAATATTCTTCCTGTAGAGAGACGTGCCCGACTTACCTCTATCCCTCTCGTCCTCCATCCCTGGCTGCCCGTCTGCAGCCTGTGCCCCCCGGGAGCTCCTGCTCCAGGCGGATATCCTCCTTCGTCTTGGCGGACGTCTTGAAGGACTTCCTGGTCCAGTCGGCGGCGCGGGCGTCCAGGATGTCCTGCCCAGGAGGGGGCGGAGGGAGGAGGGAGGACGAGGGGGGCTTCAGGCCGCGGACCCCGGAAGCGCGGGAGGACGGGGCGGGTTGGGGGGCGATGCTTGCTGCTGGCCACCCTCTGCTCGGGAGTGCACGCCGCGCAAGACACTCGACACGTGAGGACACTTGATGCGTGCTGCCTCGTGCTCGCGAGATCACGGCGGGAAGGAAGCCGAGCAGACTGCCGTCGTGCACACGCCCTCTGCGCGCTCGCGCGTGGCGTCTGCTCCCCTCCGCACGGCCGTCTCTCCCGGAAGCCGCATTCCCACTGCTGCTACCGTGGCCCACTCCGCCTCCTGCGCTCACCGCGCCGAGGGCGCGAACGACGAGGAAGGCAACGGCGGCGGCGGACGATGGCTAGGCCGCGAAGACGTGCTCAGCTCTGTGGCAACCAGTGCTGAGAAAAATCAGGCAGCCTGGGGCCACACAACGCTGTTGGACATTGAGTGCCAGCGGGCCCGACCGGCGGGCGATGCGCTCATGGCGCCCTTCCCGAGCTGCCGCACGATTGGCAGCAACACGGTCCAGCTGGTCGGCAGTGCGGACAGGGGGAGGGGGGGAGGGAGTAGGGGGACGACAAACCACACAAGCCTAACAATTCGGAGGTCCGCGCGAATTTCTAGGGGAGCCAGCGCCGATCCGAGAAATCCGCGCTTTCCGCCGAGCTTCCGCCGGCTTCCGCCGGCGGAAGAGGCCTCATTTTACTTCCGCCGCCTTCCACCGACCTCACGCCGCCTCCCGCCGCGAAAGAGATGACAGCTCCTCTCGTCCTCGAAGGCGAGGCCCTCTATGGAACGCCCCATGTTTTCGACGGCCGCTTGGGAGTGAGCGAGACGGCCTGCAGGCGGGGAGGGTGTCTGGGCCCCTCCCCCTGCCCCCTCCCCCCTCCTGGACCTGGACGGGGCGTCTCGCGGGCAGTGAGAACGTCCAAGATTGCCTCGGCGAGAAGGATTGAAAAAAACCCTGGATTGCAAAAAACCGAAGGATTGCAAAAAAAACCCAAGGATTGCAGAAATCCTTGGTTTTTTTGCAATCCTTCGCGCAACTCCTTGCTTCTGGCATGGCGCCTGGCCACTCTCGGCCTCTGGGAGGGGGAGGGGCCCTACAGTAGGAGCGCGACCACAGGAACCCTTCCGCCAGAAGCCCAACCCTGGACCCCCAGGACGTCCACGGGTTGTTGAAGGGGGAACGTCACGCTTCCCAAAGCAGAACTGGCGAAACGGAGGAATCCCGGGGCACCCTGGAGGCAAGCAGTGTGCTTCTTGGCATGGGCTTCCGCTGCAATTGGAACCTCCCCATGGTTTGATCGATCACCTCCACACTGGCCCCACGATGGCTCCCGAGGCTCCCAAGGTGGCCTCAAGAGGGCCCCAGGAGGCAGGAGGAGGAGGAGGAGGAGGAGGAGGAGGAGGAGGAGGAGGAGGAGGAGGAGGAGGAGAGGCCCCGAGCGGCCCCCCGAATGTTGCACACGGTCCCCAAAGCGGCTCCCGAGGGACCCCCCAAGAGGGCCAAAGAGGGCCCCCCCGAGACACCCGAGACACCTCAAGATGCCCCCAGGACCCTCGTGAAGCTCTCTTGGAGTCCCAAGAGGCCCAAGAGGCCGAATTTGTTGATTTTTCATTGGTTCTTGTAGGTTTGGAACCCCAGAATGAAATTTGGTACATACGGCTGAGTGGCGCGACTCCAAGTGGGGCCCCCAAGGCGCCCCAACTGGCCTACAGGGAACTGTCAGGACATCCAGAAGGACTCCGAGAAGCGTCCAAGAAATCTCTGGCCATTCTGCTCGCCCTCCTCCTCATCCTCCTCCTCCCTTTCAGCTCCCCCTTCCTAATCCGCGAAATCCTCCACCTCCCTCTCCTCCCTCCTCCCTCCTCCCCCTTCCCCTTCTTATCCTCCTCTGGATGCTCCTCCATCCTCTCCCTCTTCGGGGTAAGATGGTTTCCAAGCCTTTATTTCACCGTGTGCTCCCCCACATGCCTGATCAGGGCAACTCCACAGCGCCTAGAGTTAGCGATACATCGCCGATGGATCGGCAATGGGACTTCGATTGCGAAACCGAGCGCCCCAGCGTGGCGGGCTATCAGGCCCCCATCGACGACGAATGGGCGATTGGCAATCCCCCCCCATAGCCTATCCCCCCCCCCCCTGACGTTGCCCCTGACCTCCTCTGGGGAAACCAGAAGGTACTGATAACGCTGCTCCGCGGCCCTCTCCAGGCATGTGTTCTGACCAGAACTGCAAGGCACGTTCAGCGGCAGCGACGAGGGCATTCCAGGAGGCCCAAGAAGGCGAAATCGGTGCTAACGTGACTGTATCGGTCGATGTTCTTCATCTGACCGTCCCCCCGGCTGCTCCTGTATTGTGAACTGTACGCGCTTGGAGTACGCCTGCTTGCCCGACTCCGTCTTTGCGTACCTCAGCGCGTGCATCCTGAGGACTTGGAGGGGCTGGTCAAGAAACAGCATGTTAGCCAACGTGGGTACCAAACAATGTGGTTCCAGCAGTATGTTATGTGCAATCGATATGAAACAACCTATGTTGTCCATTACACTCGGTGCCACGCAGCATGTGCAGCCTATGATGCGCAATACATGTTGTGCAATATATGTGGTGCAACTGTTGTGATGCATCCTATGTGCTGCACTCTACGTGGTTCATTTTTCATGCGGTGCAATCGACGGGGTGCAATGTAAGCTGTCCAGTATGGTTGGTGGAATGTAGGTGGGTGCAATCCACTCTGCTGAACTTGAAGTCGTCATCTCCACTGCTCGCGCAAAGATCCCACCCACCCACCCGCAACTTGGCTTGCAAAACCTGTTAAGACCGACTCCGACGACACCGACGACAGCGACTAGGACGACACCGACGACGTCTCCGACGACTTCGACGACGACAACGACGCCGACGCCGACGACGACAAAGACGACGACGACGCCAACGAACGCGACGACGATGGAGGAGGAAGGACGACGACGGCGACAACGACGACAACGACGATAACGACGAGGGAGGAGGGAGGACGGCGACGACGCGAACGACGAAGAAGGAGGAAGGACGGCGACGCCGACGAAGACAACGACGAGGGAGGAGGGAAGACGACGACGACAACGAAAACGACGACGTCGACGAAATAGGAGGGACGACGACGAGACGCCGACGACGGACGGCGACGACGTGGGAGGGGGAGGAAGGACGACCACGGCGACAACGACGACGGAAACGATCACGACGCCAAAGAGGACGACGACGACGAACACGAGGAAAGACAGAGGACGACGTAGGCGACGACGACGACGACGCGGGAGGAGGGAGGACGGCGACGACGACGACGACGCAAGAGCGCGCGCGCACGCTTTTGTTGAAAATTCGTGTTGCGAAACCTTGGGTTTTCGTAGGTTTTTTGGACGCGCCATTTCGAAACCCTTCCGAAACCGATGGGTTTTGCACTTGGTCCCATTTGTTGCAGAGGATTCTCGCGACGGCACACGCGCAAGGGCGTTCGACAGATTTCGACATGCGCGAGCGACGCCCGTTTGGTAGCATGTTGTGAAAATCTTGAAAAACCCATGGTTTTCTTCAGATTTCGCAAGAGCTCGCGCGGAAGCTTGTTTAGCAAATCAGTGTTGCGAAACCCTGTGTTTTTGTATGTATATTTGGAAAGTCGATTTCGAAATCCTTCGGGCACCGAAGGTTTTTGAAGGATTTCGGCATGCGCGCGCGACGACGCGCGCGTGTGCACTTCGTCCCATTTTTTGCAAGGGAACCGTGAAAAAGTGTTATGTTATAACAACAAAATGTCACCGCATAGTGGTTTTTACGAAGGAACCTCAGGAGGTGGAAACCGGCCTAGCTGGGATGGTATGATTTCATGTATAGGATGGACGAGTGTGCAGAATACATATATATATATATATATATATATATATACTAGAACCATCGCGCGCGCTTCGCGCGCGCTCAGGTTCTTTTTTTGGGGAAACGACTGCAGCGGACCACGCGGGTCCAGTCGGTCGGTCAAGGCCAGGTTCGAGCGCAGCTCTTCAATATCGACTTAACACATGCAACAACAAGCGACAAGTCAACAAACAACAACAGGTTCTAGCCCAGGCCGGGGGGGCGCTGGAAGATCTTGGACAGCGCTATCAAACACAGGCGCGTGACATAGTCGTGCCTCCTGAGGGCCTCTTGGGAACCTTTTGGGTCTTCGTGGGAACATCTGAAAGGCTTCTGGGAGTTTTCCGTGCCTCCATTGGCTGTTGGAGGCACCTCTTGGGTGCTTCTTGGGGGGGCGTCTTGGGGCTTCTTGGGGTGCCTTGGGGGTATCGTCGGGGTTCTCCGGGCAGTCGGAAGGTGATGTTCTGCAATATGACGCCGTCATTGGCCGTCTTGGCTGCGTGGAGGCCAGAATTGAGGCTACCTGGGGCCGCACTGATGCAATCCCGAAGCCTCCCGGGTGCCTCCCGGGAGGCTTTTGGGGGCCTCGTCGGCCCGCTTGGGGACTCTTGGGGCCCCCTGTGGGCCTCGTGGAGCGGAAGGCTCTGCTGTTGGGTTCGCTGTTCCCCTTCTTTGGGCCTCTCCTGGGCCCGTCTTGGGGCCCTCTCGGGCCGTCTTGGGCGCCTCAGGCACCGTCTTGGGGCCCTCTTGGAGGCGGCTATCTTGGAGCGATCTTGGGGGCCTCTTGGGCCGTTTTTGAGCGTCGGGATGCCAAAAGGCAGATAACTCTAAAATCTATCAAACACCGATGGGAAAACACAATGAGTTGTGCCTCTACAGGCCTTCCTGGGAGGCCTCTTGGAACCCCTTCGGCCCTCTGGGGAGCTTCTTGAGGACCTCTTGGGTCCTACTGGGGGCCTCTTGGGGCTTCCTGAAAGCCTCTCGGGTTGGAAGGCTCGGATTGTTGGTTCGTCTTACCCCTCTTGGGCCCCTCTTGGGGCAGTCTTGGTGCCCTCTCGGGCGCCCCGGGCACCCTCTTGGGGCCCTCGTTGGCTGTCTTGGGGCCCTGTTGGAGGCCTCTTGGGCTATCTTGGAAAGGTCTTGGAGGCCTTTGGGGCCGTCTTGGAGCGTCGGGACGCCACCAAGCTGACACCTCGAAAATCAATCAAACACGTATGGCAAGACAACAATTTTTGCCTCTTGGGGCCTTGGAACCTCTTCGGCCCCCTGGTGCGCTTCTTGGGGTCTCTTGGAGCCTGTTGGAGGCTTCTCGGGGCCTCCTGAGAGCCTCTCGGGGTGGAAAGCTAGGATCTGTGGTTCGTATTACCCCTCTTGGCTCCCTCTTGGGGCCGTCTTGGGGCCCTCTCGGGCCGACATGGGCGCCTCTGGCGCCGTCTTGGGGCCCTCTTGGGCTGTCTTGTGGCCGTCTTCGAGGCCTCTGGGGCTGTCTTGGAATGGACATTGGGGCCTCTTGGGCCGTGTGGAGCGTCGGGAATCTGAAAAGGCGAGAACCCGAAAATCCTTCAAAACCCAACGGCGAAATAAACTATTTGTGCCTCCTGGGGCTCCGTGGGAGGCATTTTGGAAGCCTCTTGGGGTGTCTTGGAGGCCTCTTAGGCAGTCAGGAGCTAATTCTGGAGTGATCTCGGGCCGTTATTGGTCGTTTTCGCGGTCTGGAAGCGCCATTTCTAGCGATCTGGGGTCGTCCCCGGACGATTTTAAAGAGCCCTCGGCGCCGCGGCAAGGCCCCCGAGGCCCCCAGTCCCAGGGCCCCGACCCGGGCCCCGCCTCATGCACTCGGCAGGGCGTCCCTGGGCCGTCTCGGCGCCCTCCTGGGGGGCAGTTGAAGCGATATTTGGGTGTCTGGGACGGTCTTGGAGCATCGGGGCGCTAACTCGGCGGCCTCCCTACGAACACCTTATCCGAACTCACTGGCCTCCCTACGCAAACCTTATCCTAACACCAGGCTTGCGCGCGAAATGCTTCTCCGAATCCATCGGGCTGCGAGCGAGAACCTTATCCTATATCAGCGGCCTCCCTACGAAAACCTCATCCTAACTCACTGGCCTCCCCACGAAAACCTTATCATGACACCAGGCTTGCGCGCGAAATGCTTCTTCGAATCCTTTGGGCTGCGAGCGAAAACCTTATCCTAACTCAGCGGCCTCCCTACGAACACCTCATCCGAACTCGCTGGCCTCCCCACGAAAACCTTATCCTGACACCAGGCTTGCGCGCGACATGCTTCTTCGAATCCTTTGGGCTGCGAGCGAAAACCTTATCCTGACTCAGCGGCCTCCATACGAACACCTTATCCGAACTCACTGGCTTCCCCACGAAAACCTTATCCTAACACCAGGCTTGCGCGCGAAATGCTTCTTCGAATCCTTGGGGCTGCGAGCGAAAACCTCATCCTACCTCAGCGGCCTCCCTACGAACACCTTATCCGAACTCACTGGCCTCCCTACGCAAACCTTATCCTAACACCAGGCTTGCGCGCGAAATGCTTCTCCGAATCCATTGCGCTGCGAGCGGGAACCTTATCCTATATCAGCGGCCTCCCTACGAAAACCTCATCCTAACTCGCTGGCCTCCCCACGAAAACCTTATCATGACACCAGGCTTGCGCGCGAAATGCTTCTTCGAATCCTTTGGGCTGCGAGCGAAAACCTTACCCTAACTCAGCGGCCTCCCTACGAACACCTCATCCGAACTCGCTGGCCTCCCCACGAAAACCTTATCCTAACACCAGGCTTGCGCGCGACATGCTTCTCCGAACCCATTGGGCTGCGAGCGAAAACCTTATCCTAACTCAGCGGCCTCCATACGAACACCTTATCCGAACTCACTGGCTTCCCCACGAAAACCTTATCCTAACACCAGGCTTGCGCGCGAAATGCTTCTTCGAATCCATTGGGCTGCGAGCGAAAACCTCATCCTACCTCAGCGGCCTCCCTACGAAAACCTTATCCGAACTCACTGGCCTCCCTACGCAAACCTTATCCTAACACCAGGCTTGCGCGCGAAATGCTTCTCCGAATCCATTGCGCTGCGAGCGGGAACCTTATCCTAACTCAGCGGCCTCCCGACGAAAACCTTATCCTAAAGCCAGGCTTACTCGCCAAATTCGTCTCCGAATCCTTTGGGCTGCGAGCGAAAACCTTACCCTAACTCACTGGCTTTCCTGCGGAAGCCTTATCCTAACTCAACGGCTTCCCAACGAAAGCCTTATCCTAACACCAGGCTTGCGCGCGAAATGCATCTTCGAATCCATTGGACTGCGAGCGAAAATTTTATCCAAACTCACTTGCCCCCCTACGAAAACCTCATCCTAACTCACTGGCCTCCCTGCGACAACATTATCCCAACACCAGGCTTACGCGCGAAATTCGTCTCCGAATCCGTTGGGCTGCGAGCGAAAACCTCATCCTAACTCACTGGCCTCCCTACGAAAATCCTATCCTAACTCACTGGCCCCACCTCGAGGACAACGACGTCCAAACCTCAGGGGCCCAGCGTGAGAACCCAATCCGAATACCTTGGGCTCCGCTCTGCGCGCCTCCGGAAACCTTACCCTCACCTTATCGAAACTCCACGGGTTCTACGCGAAGCGCGAATAACTTCGCGCCTCGCGCTACAATCTCCTGCTTTCCTAGCTCCAAGGATGCGAAGCGCGTCCACCTTCCCTCTGCGAACCGTCGTAGGCTCAGACCGCGAAGCGCGAATAACTTCGCGTTTTTGCGCCGCCACCCCGGGAGCGCGAAGCGCGAAGCGCGACTAGCTTCGCACCCTCGAGGGAGCCCTTGCCTCCCAAACAGTCGGCACCATCTCAGCCATGAGTTTTCTCCCGCCGTTTTTCCGATGGCCACAATTGGCACCTTACTCACATGTCGTAATTGTCAGCCTTTTTTTTCTGAGCGTCCGAAGTTAGTTCATGACTCGCATGTTCGTTCCGCTTACGCCTTTGTTCTGGATCTCTATGCTGGGACGTCACTCACCAGTCAGTTGGGGGAAAAGACCCGGCCATTCCAGAAAAGCCTTTCTGGTGCACCTGCTGCCCGCTGCAGCCCGCAACTCCCTGCTTGATCGTGTCTGTCATTCCCTGCTGCGCGCTGATACTTCTGCTGCTGCCTGCTGGCGCCTCATTACCGCTTGGTGACTGCCAATGCACGCCAAGACAAAACAATACCGAACACAAAATAGCACGTCGCGAGACAGACCTGCAAACGATGAAATGACGAAGCTGGAACTATAAAACAACTGACACTCGGATTGGAAACGATCCAACAACGCATCGCCACGGAGACCTGGAAACCACGAACAAACGGCAGCCGGAAACTATTGAACAGCAAGTTTTGATAGCTGGAAACTACAAAGACACGCCCTTGGCGTTTCCAAGACACACTTAGCACTCGGATCCCCCTGTTCCTCCGCCTCCTCCTCCTCCTACTCCTCCTGCCTCTTCTTCTGCTTCCTGCTATTCCTGCTCCTCCTCCTCTTCCTCCTCCTCCCGGGGTCCTTCCGCACACCGCCGACAGCGCGGCCCGGCCGGCGGGGAGCGACTCGAGCGTGAAGCCGATGGCATTCAGGAGCTCGCACGCGCACTCGATGGCGTGCTCCTGGGGTCGAGGGTTAGGTCGGGCCTGTCCCCCATACAGGGGGATTTGGGACGAAATAATAAAAATACTCAAACCATACTCCCAGAATGCCCAACAATATTTAAAAAATGGTCCCCAGACTATGTTTTACTATTTTTGAATTCCCCCCCTGTAGAGGGACAGGCCCGACTCAAGCGGAGGGGAGGGGGGGGGGCTGGGGGGGCAAACCATGGGAGCCTCCCAACCGATCCTGCTGGCTCTTGCGAGGTCGACGCGCGCCGGGGAAAGTTCGAGGCTGGTCGACGCTGGCCGACGGCAGATCGACGCTGTCCGACCTGACCGAGATGCTAATGGAGACTAATCGACGCTGGCTCGGCGTTAGACCATCGAATGCCAGACGCTTATCGACGACAGGTGCACTCCGAAGACGGAGCTGCGAGTTTGCCAAAGCGGGCGGGGGAGAGAGGGGGGGGAAGGCGAGGGGGCAGGGGGGAGGTCCACGGGAAGGGTCGGGAGCGATAGGATAGGAGGACGCACACGTACAGTGAAAACCATGCCAAGAAACACCCTGCTGGTGCCCAGGGTGTCTTGGGTTTCGATGGTCTTGCGATTGTATGGAAAGCGCCACGATCGCACACCAAACCTCAACGGATGTCCTGGGATCTCAGAGTTGGGTTTATGATTGAAGGCGTCTTGTTGTCGAGCTCCTACTGTACCCGAGTCCACGCCGGCTTCGAGAGCACGCGTTGCGCAAATGTTCGCATCACACGGCTGTTCTCGCGGACTGGAGGGCCGTGTTCACGTGTGTGGTCGGGCGTGCAGGTCCTTCGTAGCCTCCATATTCTCCCCCACCTCCTCTCCTCCTCCTCCTTCTCCTCCTCCTCCTTCTCCCTCCTCCTCCCTCCTCCTCCTCCTCCTCCTCCTCCTCCTCCTTCTCCTCCTCCTCCTCTTCTCTTCTGGATTCGCTGAAGTCGTTTTTTCTGTCTGAGGCCGTGTTCACGTGGGTGGTCGGGTGAGTGCGTCCTCTGTGGGCTCTCGAGCGAAGAGGTCGGGGGCAGGAGGAGGAGGAGGAGGAGGAGGAGAAGGAGAAGGAGGAGGAGGAGCAGGAGAAGAAGAAGGAGGAGGCGGAGGACGTGGAGGAGGAGGAGAAGCAGGAGAAAGAGAAGGAGGAAGAGGATGAGAAGGAAGAGAAGGAAGAGAAGGATGAAGAGGAGGAGGAGGAGCTCCTCTCCCTCCAGCTCCCCCTCCTCCCCCTCCAGCTCCTCCCCCTCCAGCTCCTCTCCCTCCTCCAACTCATGCTGATTTCTGATTTCTGGCGGCCCTGGAGTTCGTCGTCCTCCCGCTCCCTCCTCCTCCTCCTCCTCCTCCTCCTCCTCCTCCAACTCGTCCTCCTCCTCCTCCTCCTCCTCCTCCTCCTCCTCCTCCTCCTCCTCCTCTTCCTCCTCCTCCTCCTCCCCCAAAAAGAAGCACCTCGAGCGCGCAGATCTGCGCTGCGAACGCACGTGGGGTGGGGGGTGGGCGGCAACGCTCCCCGGCACACGGGTGCGGAGGCACCCCTGCGGCCAGGATCGCCCTGCGGCTTCAACGTTTTGGGCTGCGAGGGCGGGTGGGCGAGGGGGAGCAGCTCGCGCGCGCGCGCGCACTCGAGGGCGTGCGCTGTTGGGCGGACCAGGGCCCCCCCCCTCCTTGGGACGCACAGAGACATGCTAATACTATATGTCCGCCTTGGAGGCACGCGTCCGACCCGAACATATAGTATACCCATCTTGCTGTATATCGTTTCTCGAGCGGTGTGGCCAGAAAGCGCCCGCCACGACGCATATACTATCAGATTTCTCGGTGCGCGCGTCGCCCCTGGGAGGGCGACGAACAAATGTATAAGAATTCTGGGAGGACGCCGACCACTCCCCGGATATCCGGCGACGTGAAGGCCATCCTGAAAATTGCGACCCTCGGGGGCCTCGGGGGCCCTCGCCGGGACGCGGGACCATACAAAACATGGATCCGGCGCGACAAGCTGGGCCCGGGTGAGAGCTCGGGACAGCTTGGGCCGCGGATGGAACGAGTCCGATCGGCGGACGCCAGGGCCGGTGCAAAGAGATCACGACGACGATCTGTCTGATGGTCTTCGGCCTCGAGTGGCCCTCACGGGGTCCCTGGACACAGTCCCAGATCGGCTCGGGATGACCATCTCCTGCTGGGAACCCAGACCTCCGGATGGGTTTTCTTCCTCCCCCTGGGTGATGGGCCTGCGGCTCAGAAGCTCCGGAAGCGCCAACCCACTCCCGTCGGGACCCCCCCCTCCCCAGGGGACTCCCAAGGCGGAATGCGTGTCTGAGCCCCACGGAGCCCGACTCGAACGGCAGCGGCGCCACGCGCAGTGGCGAGCACGGCGGCGTCCCAAGAGAGCAGGCACCGACAGGAGCATGTGCCAGCCGAGACCCGGGAGGGATATCTCGGAGTGTACGCGCCCCACCCGCGCGGGGACGGCCCGTCCCCGCGCGGGCACGAGCAATCATAAGCACCGCAGCTTGGAATGCTCTACGTCGTGATTGCCATGGCAATGGACACTCGAACAATCCTATCATTGAATTAAACATGTGTTTAAATTGTATCAAACTTGCTTTTTACATATTTAGATATGTTTGAAACATCTTTGAGACATCTGGAAGTTATTTGGCAACGCGCTTCCTCTTCATTAACCGACTTCCACAACTTTACGTGATGACGGCCAGCTCGCGAGTATCGTCACAAGACCTCTGGAGGGGGAGGCGTCGGAGTTCTGGAAGGACGGAGGAAGAGGGGAAGCCAGGGAAGCGGAGACAGCTTCTGGGAGGTCTTCGAAAGAACGAGTACTGAGCACGACTGAGCCAGATTGAGCCCGGAGGAAGTCCAGGACTACGCCAAGCAGGACGGGATTAGGCAGGATGAGACGGAACCATGCGAGAATGTTCGGGATGAGGCCGATTTTCAAAAGCCTCCCCATATGCCCCCAGTGACGAGGGTTCGTGGGTGTATTTTTTGGGGGTGGGGTCTGGACGCCCTAACACAAATAAGGAAACGAAGGGAGTGTCCGAAGGGAAGTGCCGGAACTGTTACTTTTTATCTCGAAAGAGAGGAGGAGGAAGAGGAGGAGGAGGAGGAGGACGAGGAGGGGGAGGAGGAGGAAGAGGAGGAGGAGGAGGAGGAAGAGGATGAGGAGGAGGAGGAAGAGGAGGATAAGGAGGAGGAGGAGGAGGAGAAGGGGGAGGGGGATGATGAGGAGGAGGAGGAGGAGGAGGAGAAGGGGGAGGAGGAGAATGGGGAGAAGGAGGAGACAAAGGACAAATACGAAGGGCGAGAGGGATGAGCGCGCAAGTGGCACGAATGAGAAGGAGAAGATGAGGAGTAGAGCAGGATGAGGAACCTCCTGGATCCTCAGACCGTCCTCCCTCCGCCCTCAAATTGGGGCCCTCGGCGCTCATGCTGGAGTCTCGGGGCTACTTGATATGGGATCCAGAGAATGGCGCTTCAGGAGGCAAGGACTGTGCAATAACGTGAGACAAACTATATCCTCCATCCTATTCCTCCACCTCCTCCTCTCTGGATGAGAAGGCACAGGAATGGAAAGAACTAACTATGGGAGAAACTATCGATCCTCGATCCTCCACCTCCGATTCAGCGTCCTGCTCCTCCTCCCCTTCCTCCTCCAGCGGACCGTCGACGACGTGTCGTAGGGACGCACTGGATAGTGGTCGGTTCTTGGAAATCTTGACGTGGATCTGCAAGTCTGCGCAGCACATCGCGTAATCACATCAAATCTGAGCAACGGGGTCGAACTGTCCCACACCGTCCCGTGGGTGTGTAGCCGAAGTTGGGCTCCGCGGCGCGGCTTCTCGTTATTATTTTCGTCCTCGCGCGCGAGTGTACATATATATATATATATATACATACATACATATATATATACACATATACATACACATATACATATACATACACATATACATATACATATACATATACATACATAGAATGTCCGAATGTGGTGCCGAACGGACCTGCACCGCCCCTGGGCGCATAGCTGAAAGGGCTCCGCAGCGCTGATTCTCGTTGTTCTCGTTCGTCCTCGACCGCGATCCGCCCGCGGCCCACCCGCGACCCACCCGCGACCCGCCCACGACTCACCCGCCACCCGCCCGCGACCCGCCCGCTACCCGCCCGCGACCCGCCCGCTACCCGCCCGCGACCCACCCACGACCCATGCATCCTCTTCCTCCTCCTTCTCCTCCTCCTCCTCCTCCTCATCCTCCTCCTCCTCCTCCTCTCCCTCCTGCCTGGAGAGCGTGGAAGCGAATCTGAGGAAACCAAAGGATAACGATACCGCTGCTCCCCGGATATTTCCTGGGATGCGTTCTGACCAGAATGAGGCGAATCCAACGGTTGCGACGAGCGCCTCCCAGGATGCCCCCCAAAGCAAAAATGTTGAAAGGGTAACGTTACCGGTACCGTTTCATCCTTTGAGTATGCTAGCCCGCGTGAGCCCCGAGCATTGAGTTGTTTGGTTAGAATTGTGAAGGAAGGAACTATAGTTTACAAGCTATGTGGTGTAGCATGTTGTGAAAACAGGTGAAGTGTCAATCATGTGTGCGCCATGTGGTGCAGGTTGCGTGCTGTAAAGCTTGCGGCGCGAGCTATGCGGTACAAGCCATGTGGTGTCATGTACGTGGTGTACTGTTTGCTGAGTCACATGTGAGATGTGCGGTGTGAGCTGTGCGGAATTAGCCATGCGGTGCGATGTATGAGGTGGAACCACTTCGACTGTCTTGAAGCTGTCCTTTCCACTGCTCGTGCAAAAATCCCACCCTCCCACCCGCAACTTGGTCGCAAGACATCTTCAGACAAGACCGTGACGGTAGGTACTGCGTGGCACTTGGCCACGACACGGATGCCGACGACGACAGCGACATCGACGACGACGGCGCCGCCGACAGCGACTGCGACGACACCGACGACGTCTCCAATGTTTTCGACGACGACAACGACGACGACGACACCGACGACGACGACAACGACGCCGACGACGACGACGAAGACGACGACGACGTCGCCAACGGAGACGACGACGAGGGAGGAGAAAAAACGACGACGGCGACAACGACGACAACGACGATGGAGGAGGGAAGACGGCGACGACGCCAACGACGAAGAAGGAGGAAGGACGGCGACGCCGACGACGACAACGACGAGGGAGGAGGGAAGACGACGACGATGACAACGACGACGAAGACGACGACGACGGCGACGAAATAGGAGGGACGACGACGAGACGCCGACGACGGACGACGACGACGAGGGAGGAGGATAACGACGAGGGAGGAGTGAAGACCACGACGACGACGACGACGACGACGACGACGAAACGAAATAGGAGGGACAACGACGAGACGCCGACGAAGACAACGAGGGAGGAAGGACGACCACGGCGACAACGACGACGGAAACGACGACGACGCCAAAGACGACGAGGAAAGACAGAAGACGACGACGGCGACGACGACGACGACGACGGGAGGAGGGAGGACGACGACGACGACGACAAGAGCGCGCGCGCACAATTTTGTTGAAAACCCGTGTTGCGAAACCTTGTGTTTTTGTAGGTTTTTTGGACGCACGATTTCGAAATTCTTCCGAAACCGAAGGTTTTTGAAGGATTTCGGCATACGCCCGCGGCGACGCGCGCGTCTGCACTTCGTCCCATTTTTTGCAGAGGATTCTCGCGACGGCACACGCGCAAGAGCGTTCGACAGATTTCGACATGCGCGCGCGAAGCCCGTTTGGTAGCATTTTGTGAAAATCTTGGAAACCCTATGGTTTTCTAAGATTTCGCAAGAGCTCGCGCGTAAGCTTTTTTTGAATCAGTGTTGCGGAACCATGTGTTTTATATGTTTTTTGGAAATTCAATTTTGAAATCTCTCCGGAACCGAAGGTTTTTGAAGGATTTCGGCATGCGCGCGCCACGACGCGCGCGTGTGCACTTCGTCCCATTTTTTGAAAAGGATTCGTGAAAAGTGCTATGTTAGAACAAAACATGTCACCGCATAGTGTTCTTTACAAAGGGAACCGCAGGGGGGGGGGAACCCGGCTTGGCTGGGATGGTATGAATTCATATTTAGGATGGACATGTGGTCATAACCATATGTAATTTACAGCACGCGCGGGGGAACCGATAAGGTCGGGGGGGGGGGGTAGAATCTACTAGTCTTTTAGAAAGGAGGATACATCGCAACGCACGTGGTGCAGGCCGCGTATACAAGCTGTGCGGTGTAGGCACTCCGATGTGAGCTGCGGGTGGACGGCTGTGCTGTGCAAGCTGCGCGGTGCAGGCTGCGTGGTGTCACACGGAGAAAAACTTCGGGAGGCCCACCCGGGCGCACGGGGCGCCCCCGGGGCGCCCGCGGGCGCCAGCGCGGCGAGACCCGGGGAAGCTCATCCAAGAGCTTAAGCAAACGAAGCAAGCACCCCTAAGTTTTTGACATCCACGGCCAAAGACCCACACAGAAGAGGCAAACGTTCGGAGCAGAGCTGCACGACCACAGGGCCACCTCCTCCTACGAGGAGGGCGCCATTAGGCCGAGCGGCCCGCCCCTCAACATTAATCCGGCCCCGAACTCTCGTTTCCGAGAGGATGTGAACGATGCAGGCACCCCTGAGTGCGAACACTGCTTGGGGAACCATGCGGAACGAGGGACGACCAAGGTCCAGCATCCAGGCCGAGGCCGGAAGCCAGTCGAAAGGACGCGTGCAGCTCCATTGTACCCGGGAGGAAAAGGCCTCGGTTCCTGCGAGACGTGTGTCGGCGAGCCGCGGCCTTAGTTAGGCACTCCCAATCAGAAACAAAACGACAATCACACCGCATGTCCGCCAATCTCTCCGAAGATGCAGTTTGACCCGCATTCCGATGCGATTCCAGCGGTAGCGACGATGGCTCCACCAGGAGGCCCACACATGCAAACACGAGGCATGGGTTCGCCGGACCTCGCCGAGGATGCATCCTGACCAACACTCCGATGCGGGTCCAGCGGTGAGAAAGACGGCTCCCCCAGGAGGTCCACGCATGCGAACACGAGGCACGGGCAGCGTGTTGTTGGCACCTTCACCCCTCTGGATATGCTGGCCGTGCAGCAAGAGGCGTGTCATCAGACAGGCCAGGGCTCCCCAAAACAACTTCGAATGATGCCAAACGATGCCGACAACAAGGGACAACTTTCGAACTTTGGCAACGCAGAACAAGTTGGAAAAACCACGAAACGAATAAAACATGCAACAAGCAGAATAACCGCATGCCGATGATAATAAAGGGACCCCCCCTTCAGTGTTTAGAGTTGATTATCGTCGCCCTATACAAAATTCAAATTGGGCGGCGAGCGCTGAGGCCGAACTTCATTATCACCTCGAAACGCTATGTTGAGATAGCAACATCAAGCGATGTTGATATAGCAACATTAAGCGAAGCGATCACACTTTTTCAGGATGTGTCAAGCGAAACCAATAATTTTGGGAGGCAGACTCAAACGAAACGAGCAATGTTCCAAGGATGTCTCAAGGATGTTTCAAGCTAAACCAGCAAGTTTTGTTCTTTTTTATTTATATGTTTTATTATCTTCCTTTTATACATGTATATATCCCCGCGCGCGCCTGAACTTTTTTATCTCTGTGGTTGACTATCCATGGAAAGGGGAGCACATGAGCTACCCTACATGAGCACCTTAAAACATCAATTTTCATAAAGCGGTTGTAAATTAAAATTGATAGATTTGGAACTTTCCAGTTTTTCGTTCTTCTTCTCTTCTTCTTCTTCTTCTCTTCTTCTCTTCTTATTATTATTATACTTTCCTCTTCTTATTTTATATTTCTATCTGTCCTCACGCTCGCCTGAACTTTTTTATCCCTGGGGTTGATTATCCATGGACAATGAAGCACATGAGCTACCCTACACGAGCACTTAAAACATCAATTGTCATAAAGCGCTTGTAAATTAACATTGATAGATTTGGAATTTTGGATTTTTCCTTTCTTCGTCCTCTTCGTATTATCCTCTTCTTCTTTCTTATTACTATTATACTGTATTCTTCTTCTTTTATATTTCTCTCTGTCCCCACGCTCGCCTGAACTTTTTTATCTCTGGGGTTGATTATCCATGGAAATTGAGGCACATGAGCTACCCTACACGAGCACTTACAAAAAACAATTTTCATAAAGCGCTTGTAAATAAAATCTACTAGATTTGAAACTCGAGATGTTTCCTTTTTTTCCTCCTTCTCCTCCTCCTCCTATCAAGCGAAATAAGCAATAGTTTCAAGATGTCTCAAGCGAAATACGCAATAGTTTCAGGATGTTTCAGGCGAAATCAGCAATAATTTGACGACGTTACAAGCGAAAACCACAATTATTTCGAGGATGTCTCAAGCGAAATAAGCAATCGTTTGACTGTGTCTCAAGCGAAATAAGCAATAGTTTGCGGATGTCTCAAGCGAAACAAGGGATTTGTCGAGGATGTCTCCAGCGAGATAAGCCATTGTTGAGGATATGTCTATGAAAACTAAACGCCAAGGATGTCTCAAAACGTGCTCGGTTTGGTCTCCCCTTGATCATCTCTTACTTCGAGATTATGCTGAGGTCTGCTGGGCTACTTTTATTATCTCTCCCTGAACCCCGAACTTTATTATCCCCTAGTGTTTATTCGCACGGGCATGAGGTTATTGAACTAGTTCGCTACGAGGCCCCCCGCCGCCACCTGAACATAAGTGGGCATGACATGACAACCTGCCGAAAAAAACTTTGAAACAACGTGCAAACTCAATTTGAATGAGAACTCGAAAAGGGGGGAATTCGGAACGTGCCATGAAACAGAACGTGGTTTACCGCGTTTGTGCATATTTCAGGAAACGCGCCTTGTCTGAGACTCGCCTGCGGTAGTGTTAGCCAGCGTGGACTCCAAACAGTGAGTCTTCGTTTGCACTTCGGAGGAGGAAGTCAGACCATGAAAACTATAAAGTGCAACGTATGTGTTGTATGCTGCGCGGTGTGCGTTATATGCGCGCGGTGTGGTGAAACAACTATGTGGTGTAAACTCTTGCGATGCGGCCTATGTGCTGACACCTACGTTGTGTAATGCGTGTGTAGCTATGCTCTCTAAACTTTGTAGCATGGGCTCTGTGATATGTGGCGTCTTGCGCAATACATGAGCTGTGGTGGTGTGGGCCGCGCGGCAAATGCCATGGACGACGTATGGTAGGGCCGTGAATAGCCACGTGGTGTGCTCCGTACGCTGTGAGCAGCGCGGTGAAACTTTCGTCTTCGCTTCAGCGAAGACAACGCGAAGGGGGGGGGGGAAGGAGGAGGGGATGAGTGGGGTGGAGCAGCCTAAAAGCGGACGAGTCAATGCCCAGCCGCTCTGGGCCATCCGCGAAGACCTTGAGGAGGAGGAGGAGGAGGAAGAAGAGGAGGAGGAGGAGGAGGGTCCCCGGACCTTGGACGAATCGGCGCCGACTCGCCCGCCGCGGGGGGGCTAGTCTCCACCTGAGGAGCCGGGCCCCCCGACCCTGAACTGGAAGCAGTCGACGGCTTTCCACGGGGGCCCGCCCCATGGGCAAGGCCCCCGACCGTGGGGCACGCCTCGCACTTCGGGCCGTCGGGCTCAAGGATGCCGACGAGCACAACGATGCCCGCGGGGGGGGGGAAGGGGCGAGGGCCCTGCACGCGTAGTGGCGAGGCCCCTGCCACCACCACCCGCTGCTCCTCCCGCGGCCGCCCACACGGGGCACCGGGCCGCCAGCGAGCGCCACGTGGACCACCACGCGCTCGACGGCGACCGTCCGCTCCGCTGCCCCCGCCGCGCGCGCCGTCGGACACGACCGCCAGCTCCTCGAGCTCGACGGCCATTGCGAGCAGCACGCCGTGGTCGAAGGGCACCTCGGATGCGGGTCGGGGCAGACCCGCGCGCTCCCCCAGGCGGATGACGAGCTCCCTCAGCTGCCACACCTCGAGGTGGACAAGCTTGTTCTTGTCGACAAACTCGCCGCCCTTGCCCGTGCCCTTGCCTTCGCTTCCGCGCGAGCCTGTATCGGCAGGTGGGCCTCGAGGCTGCCTCACCACGGGCAGGTCGTCGGCCCAAGCGTCATCCCCCAGCATCGGCTGGACGTCGGCCGCAGCGCCCCAGCATCGGCTGCACGTCGGCCGCCTCCACAGGCGGGGCGGGAGCAGGCGGCGGCGCCGCCAGCGCGGCCACGGCCGTGCGGAGGAGGCCCTCCGCCGCGCGCAGCAGGCGCACCGCGTCGCGGCCGCCTGCGGGGGCGCGGACCGCCAGCCCAGCGGCGGCGTGGACCACGAGGAACGCGCTGCGCGCGCCCTCGAGCGGTACCAAGGGGGCAGCCATCGCCGTACCAGGGGCCGGCGTTTCGGCGGCGGGGCCAGCAGCGAGCGCGCGTGAGCCGAGATGGTCCTAGGAGGAGGAGGAGGAGGAGGAGGAGGAGGAGGAGGAGGAGGAGGAGGAGGAGGAGGAGGAGGAGGAGGAGGAGGAGATAGGAGGACTAGGAGGAGGAGGAGGGAGGAGGAAGGAGGAGGAGGAAGAGGAGAAGGAGGAGAAGGAAAAGGCGGAATAGGAGGAGGAGGAGGAGGAGGAGGAGGAGAAGAGGAGGAGGAGAGGAGGAGGAGAGGAAGGAGGAGGAGGAAGGAGAGAGGGAAGGAGGAGGAGGAGGAGGAGAGAGGAGGAGGAGGGAGGAGGAGGAGGAGGAAGGATGCGGAACAGGAGGAGGAGGAGGAGGAGGAGGAGGAAGAAAAAGAGGAGGAGAGGAAGGAGGAGGAGGAAGGAGGAGGAGGAGGAGGACGAGGAGGAGGAGGGGAGAGAGGAGAGGAAGAGGAGGAGGAGAGCGGAACAGGAGGAGGAGAGGAGGAGGAAGAGAAGGAGGAGAGGAAAGAAAGGAGGGGGAGGAGGAGGAGGAGGAGGAGGAGGAGGAAAAGGAATAGGAGGAGGAGGAGGAGGAGGAGGAGGAGGAGAGGAGGAGGAGGAGGAGGAGGAGGAAGAGGAGGAGGAGGAGGAGGAGGAGGAGGAGGAGGAGGAGAGCTGTGTTGTCTTCGCTGCCTGGTGTGTGAGAGCCCACGGGGCGCACACGCAGGCGCCCACGCAGGCGGGCACGGGCTTTAGGCGCCCGAGAGCGGGCCACGGGGCGCCGAGGCGGCGAAACGCCAGGGGGCACCCATCTCGGGGAGGGACAGAACTGAAGGGGCCCCAGGACACACAAATAAATACACACAAATAAAAAGGTCCCCCATATTTTCCCATATTTTCTGTTTTTTTTGTCTTCCCCCCCACTTCCTATTTTTGCATATTTTCTTGGGGGTCGAGGATTAATTGTGTCTGTGTGTTTCTTTCCCTCCTGACAAAACCCCCTTTAGTGAAACGTGGCTGGGAGAGAACGACCTCGGGTCCAAACGTGGCGGGCGCTGGCCCTGGAACGTGACGGCCGCGGCGCCCTCTCGAGAACCGACCACGGACAGTGCACTCATCGACGTGTCCGGGGCGGGGGGTCTGTCCACGGCCGACCCATTATGGGACGCGCAGGGCCATACGAGAACGATATGTCCTCCTTGGAAGCGCGCGTCCGAACCGAACACATCGTAGACCCATCTTGTAGTATCTATAGTTTCCCGAGGGGTGTGGCCAGAAAACGCCCGCCACGACGCATATACTTGAAGATTTCTCGGTGCGCGCGTCGCTCCTGGGGGGTGACGCACATATAGTATAAGTATGATGGGGTGACGCCGGCATAACTGCAGCCAAAAAAACCTGAATCTAGGCTTGGAAAAAAAGAAAAGACGAAAACAACGGCACAAACGTGAGCTTCTGGCGCTCCGCGCGGACTTCTTTGAACTCCGCTGGACTCCCCTCCCTGGCACGCGGAGCGCGCCAAGGGCGGCGCCGGAGGCGCCGCCTGAGGGGGGGGGGCAGCCTGCGCCAAGAATTCCGCGCGGAACGCTAACAGTTTATGTTTATGCCGTTTTTGTTCTTCGAGAAGGGCGAGACAAACCACAGCATTGCCTTGGAAAAAAAACCAGGTGGGAGGAAGAGGTGGGGCACCGAAAACAAAGAGACGCCGACACCGCTTCTCCCCAGACCTCTCTCGGGATGCCTGCGGGCTACAATTTCGAGGCGAATGCAGCGCGTGGCGCCGAGGGAATTTCAGGAGGCCCGAAAGAGCGAAAACGAGGCAAGGGTAGGGTAGCGGTGCGTCTTTTTCTGAGAATGCGAACCAGCGTGGACCTCAAACCTTGAGTTTTTGCTTGCGCTGTGGAGGTGGGAGCTACATTGTGATGCGGTGAAAGTTGTGTCGTGTAAGCTGTGCAGTGTGAACTGTGTGTACTGGGGCGACTCCAGCGGTGGCGACGAGGGTCTCCCAGGCGGCCTCCAACATGCGAAAACGAGGCAAGGGTAGCGGGGTCGCCACACCTTCTCTGAGAATTTTGGTTCGCGTGGACCCTAACAGTGAGTCGTTGTTTGCACGTTTGAGGTGTGAGCTATATGATGTGAGCAATGAGGTGCAAGCTATGTCGTGTGAGCTGTGCGTTGTGAGCTCTGCTGACTGGGGCGATACCAGCGGTGGCGACGAGGGCCTCCCAGGAAGCCCACACGGGCAAAACTGTGGCAAGGGTTACGATATGGGCACTTCTTCAAGGTTAGCAATATTGGCGCCTCTTCCATTTCTTTGAGTGCCAGCCAGCGTGGACCCCAAACAGTTAATCGTGATTCGCACTTTAGAGGTTTGTGCTTTATCGTGTACCCTATGCGGTGTAAGCTATGTCTTGAGCGGCCCCGGCCAACGATAAGCAAAGTCCCCTGGGAATTCCTAGCCAAAAATTCCAAACATCATTCCCCACATATTCCGGCACCCGAAATATTAATTACCAACAATTAATTCAATCACAAAAACTAACATACCGTGTTTCCGAGGGGGGAGGAACGCCGAGAGGAAAAGCTGGCCGAGGGCGAAGGCCGGAAGGGTTCTGGGAGGGAAGGGCGAAGGCCGGAAGGGCGAAGGCAGGAAGGTGACGGCAGAGAGCGATGGCGGAGGGCAGCTGGTTTTCGCAGCACGAGCCGCGGGCGCCCGCGTGTGCCACGCGCAGCGGGCGACGCAGAGGGCCGAAGGAGTCTGAACATTGCCCCTGCAGCAGTCTGAACATGTGGCGGGCGACGCGACGGGCGGGAAAAAAAAAGGGGGAGGAGGACGAGGAAGAGGAAGAGGCGGAGGAGAATGAGGAGGGGGGACGAAAGGAAGAGGAGAGGAGGAGGAGCAAGAGGAGGGGGAGGAGGAGGAGGAGGAGGAGGACGAGAAGAGAAAAGCCAGGCGGGCGACACGAGGCAGGCGGCTGCGCAACCCCAACGCTGCAGCCGGGCGCCGGCGCCGGGGCTGCGCCGGCGGCGGCCTCACGGCGCGGGGGCTGCGCCAGCGGCGGCCTCCCCGCTGGCGCCGGCGCCGGCGCTGCCGCTGGCGCTGCCGCTGGCGCTGCCGCCGGCGCGGCGCCTCCTGCGAGATCGAAGTGCGGGGGGGATGGATCGCGAAGAGGCGGCCCACGGGGTGACAGGGACATGGAGTGGTGAAGGTGGACACGGGGAAGGCGGGCACGGCGAAGGCGGGCACGGCGAAGGTGGTGAAGGGGAGGAGGGGCACTGAGGAGGTGGGGTGACGAGGAAGGCGGCCACCTTCAGAGAAAGAGGCAGAGGAGGTGGGGGGAAGGAGGCGGGGGCGACGGAGGAGGGCGGGAGTAGGGAGGAGGAGGGGGCGGGGGAGGAGGACGGGTAGGAGGGGGGGAGGAAGGAGGGACGGAGGACGGAGGACGGAGCGGAGGGAAGGGGAAGGGAAGGAGGGACTGCGAGGCGACGACGCGCGGGAGCAGAGAGAGGCCCCCGAGCAAAACGCCGTCGGCGCCACCTCGTCTGGGCCAACCTCGAGCACTTTCCCGCCGCCCTCAATGGCGGCGACGACGCGCGCGGGCACGTGCGCCCACGCGCCCTTGGCCTGCAAGTCCTGCTTGAGTTTCTCCGCGGCGACCTGCGGCACCGTGGGCGCCCCCCACCTCTCCAACTCCACATTCCATCCTCCGCATCTCCTCCTCCATCTCCCAGCCTCCGACTCCCATGCTCCTCCAACCGCTTCCTCAGCCACCTCCTCCACCTCCTCCCCGACCACCGCGGCCTCCCTCTCCTGTCGCCCGCCTCCTGCCGCGTGTTCAAGAAACCTGCCCTCTCCTCCTCCTCCCCCCCCTCTTCCTCCTCCTCGTCACCTCGTGTCCCGGGATCGTCCTCCTACCCCTTCCTCATCATCATCATCATCAGAGCTGCCTTCAGCTTCTTGTTGCCTTTCATCGCCGCGAACGTATACTTCATGCTGAAGATCGCGTAGGCCAGCGAAATCGTAACCATGCCATCGTGCACGACGGCTTCCCAGGCGACCAGGTCCTTGGAGTCGAAGATGCTACTGATCTTCCTGGCGCGGCGGAGGCGTGCACCCAGGTCGGCGCGCAGCTCGCCCAGTGGCTTGAGCTGCTTGTTGGACACGAGCAGTTTCGTCATTGGGCGCGGCGGCGATGCCGGGAGCTCCTCTCTGCCAGGGTGCCAGTCTGGCGACCACTCCTTAATTGTAGCACAAGCCGCCCGGAACCCATCGCGCCACCGCGCCTTGGTGGTGAGGAGGGAATTAATTGTTCAGGGCCACGAGCGCGTCCTCGACAGCCCGCGGAATCGGGGAACCATCGAGGATACCCACGTGGTCAGCGCCATGGGTCGCGAAGCAAGTCCCGAGATGCGCCGCGAAGGAGTCGCCGTTGAAGTCCTATTGCAGGCGCGTCTCGTCGCCATCATGGCGCGATCCTCATCGGCGCCGTCACTGTCGCCAACGCCAGCTCAACGTCCTTAGCGCATCCTTCCCGTGCCCCTCCTTCATGACCACCCTCCGTCTGACCGCCCCCATCCTCCGCCATCTAATCATCGACCTCCTCCTGCGCCTCCGCTCGTCGTCCGGACCGCCCTCGTCTCCCTCTCCGCCCTGACCGTCCTCGTCTTCGCCCCCCCCACCCTCTCCCCCCGATCGCCCTCATCTTCCTAAGCCTCAACCCCGCCCGGCTGCGGCCCCAGTCGGCGAACTGCGCGCCCGACGCCTTCTCGCAGCCACGGAAGACGCTGTCGACTGCCCCGACAAGGCGGGTTAAGACCTCCTGGCCGTTAAGCCATGCCTTTGCAGACGGCTCGTCAAAGTCAAACGCGCACGCGAGGAATGGACTGCCCCGCATCCAGCAGGTGGCCGCGGCCACTACACAGGATACCTGCGAGCGCAGCAACTCATCTGAGTATCGCGCTGCTTCCGTAGCATCCTCGAAGGCCTTGATCGCGTCCTGCGTGAAGCACGTGTCATAACCCGAGCCGCACAGCAAACGACACTCGCCGATAATGTCATTCGGCGTGGTTAGAGACGCTGCCCACGTCTCAGTCCAAAAAGTGTCGATCGGGAAGTTGGTGAAGATAGGGCCATTGCAGATCCGAATGAACATCTCCAGGCGGTCCGAGAGGTGACTTGCCAAGAGCGACTTGACCTCCGCGAACGCATCGCTCGACCCGACCTTCGCGACGGAGCCGTCGACGGCCGCCTTCACTGCGTGGCCGCCCCAGAACACGCCCATGTAGTCAGCGATCTCGCGGGGCGTATTCTGTATAAACGTCGCGACCTTGCCAATCGGCGTGCTGGGATCCTTGCGCAGCGACAGCAGGCGCATGATATCCGTGGCCACACGCCCACGTACTGCGCCGTGGCCGTGTACTCATCAACCGTCACATCCTTCATCTTACAACTGAGCTTGGGGAGGTTGTCCATGGCCTCGATCAGACGACGCGCCATGCGCTTGTCCCAGATCGCCTCCTCTAGTGGCTCGTCCATCCACTCGGTGGCCTCCGTGACGAGCTCCTGTGGGCAAGCGGGCATCTCGTCGCGTCCTCGTCGTGCCCCGCCCGCCGACTGCGGCCCCGAACGACTCATCCGCCGCCGTCGCTTCCCAGCCGCCACCCACCCCTTTACCCTCCTCCGCCTGAGACTGGTCCTCCGCCCCCCTGGTTCCTCCTCCTGAACAAGACCTTACCAGCGCCGACCGACGAGGGGGAAGGGGGCGAGCAGGCGGTCAAAACTGAGGGGGGGGGGATGAGATCGGCGGTCCTCGCAGAAATCCAACACCAAGTCACCGCAGGAGCGGCAGTAGTTGAACAACATCTCGTCGATGTCCCCGGCGGTAAGATACCTGGAGCCCAAAGGGGTAGCCTGCTGCAGTTCCGCCGAGAACCCGTCCAGGTGGCTCGCAGCGCTGGCCACGCGGGAACGCATATCCAAGTGCGCCTTGTCTGCCGTGAAATTGGTCGTAGCCGCGGTCAGCTTGGTCTTCAACCGCTTCGCGAGGTCAAGCCCGACTGCAAACCCATCATGAGCTGCCTGTGCATCGCGAAGCAGCTTCTTGCCGTGCGGCCACTGCGTGACCGAGCCACTCATAGGCCATCGATTGTCCGAGATGCCCTTGAGGGACTCCCCAGCAGACTCCAGCACAACGATCTCTGGCGAGGCGCCCTCCTCAAGTAAACACAGGGCATCTCCCAAGGCACCCATGTCAGTCTTCACATCCACGGCGGCCCACGCGGGTACTGCCCTCGCAAGCGTGAGCAGGTTATTGAAAATGTCAGGCCCTGCGCTCTGGGCGATCATGCTGATTTGCATCTTGATCATGTCAGTGCACATCGCCAGCTGAGCGGAAGACGTTGTGAACCCTGCCTCTGAGAGCTTCTCGGGAGTCAACAAAGACCACGTGGTGTCATCCGCCTTGGATGCCTCGGAGGAGCGGCCATGGCGTGTGCTGAGGCAACAGGGCTCACCGACTGCATGGCCCCGCCCACCCATCCCGCCGGTCCCTTAGCCGCCCGCGCCCCCCCTGCGCCCGCCTTCCGGGCGCGCGCGCGTGGCCGCGCGGCACGGGGGGGGGGGGGCGGAGGGGGGAGAGGGGCTGGCCGTCAGCCTGGCGAACCGAGCGCCTTGAGGACATCCACTTGGGCCTCCACTTGCTTCGCAGTGAACTCCTGCATCATCCAAGACGGGAAAGGCACCTGCGCAGTGGGCGGCGTGGCCAAGAATATCAGCGAGCCGCGGTAGGCAGCGGCAAATGCGGCATCAAAGGCTGAAGCCTTCGCCCACGCCTTACACACCGTAACAGCCTCTTGCCCTTGCTGACGCAAAGACTGGATCTCATCCGTGCATGCGTAGCGTTCTGGTTCTGGTTGCCCAGACTCCCTGGCAGCAGCCATTTCCTCCTCGTATTTCGCAGGGGGGGGGGGGGGGGGGGGGGGATCAAGGTGCTGAAGTTCGACACGGCCTGCTCCAATTGTCTGCGGAAGTTGGGAACTGCGAAGTACTTCTCTTCCTGCGCGCACTGCCTGAACTCGTCCAAGTGCTGCAGGAGCGTCTGCCTCCTGTCGATGCGAGGGCGGCTGGGGCCGCGCCGCTGCGAAGTCGCATCGGAGTCAGACTCGGTGGTGCTGGAGCCAAGGCGGCGTTTGGGCTTCGCCTTGGCTTTCGCCTTCGCTCTCGCCCCAGAGGCTGCCGAGGCGTCGGACGTGGGCGCGCCTGCAGCTGGCGCCAGCACCGGGATATAGGCCGCCGCGAAGCCGCTGAAGACAGACGGGGCGCCCGCGGCTGGCATAGACGGTGCTCCCCCAGCTGGGGGCGCGGCCGGGGCGGGCGCCGATCCTGCTGGCCTCGCAAAGATACTTGGGACCTCTTCTCCTGTCGGCCTGGCAAATGCATTCTGCAGTGACGCCACCAAGCCATCGTAAGATCGGTCGAGTTGACCTTCGAAAATGGCACTGTCGCTGGTATGGTGCACGCGCTTCTTCGCAACTCCTTGGGTTTCAATCTCTGGCTCCTCCCATTCCAATTTGCCAGGGATTCGTGCACACTTGATTCCAGCGTGCATAACAACTTGATGACCTTTTCCATTTGCGCATGGATCTCCTAATCCCAGTTCCCCAGTGTGGTCGGCAAGTGAAGCGATTCTGCTAGGGGCACGTTTTGTCTGCACTTCCTTTTTCTTGTAACTCGCGATGCTCTCATCGATCTCCCCCCGCGCCACCCTCGCGCCCCTGTTCATGCCGATTGACTTGACATGCAGCACTGCCTCGTTGCGACGGGCGAAGAACTGCAAACATACCTCGCGGTCGGCACCATTAACAGTCACCAGTGCGGCGCATGTGGAGGTGCTCGGCTGGTCGGCGTAGAAGCCTGGCTGGCCCCCCCCCCCTCCCCATCGTCCTCCTCGTCGTCCTCCTCATCTCCCCCCCCCCCGCCCCTCGTTACCAGTGCCTCAACTCCCCCCCTCCCAACGTTTCTCCTGCCACTCAACCTCCTATATCAGCCTCCAACGGTTCCTCCCCCTTCGTATCCTCCACCCGCGCCCCCGCCCTGAGGCGCCCTGAGGAGCCCCCTGGGGCCATGGATTCCCTGGACCCTTTTTAACACAAGCATCGGCCTTTCATGTGTCGGAGCCTGCTTGAGTGCGCCAGCAGTGCAAACATGTCGATCCCCTGTTTTGTTTGTTTGTCCTTCGGCTTGTAGGCCCAATGCAGGCACTCGCTGGGGAACAGGTGGTCTTGCTCAGTGTCCCTGCGCCCGCATAGGTTGCAGGCCCGCCCATCGGGAATCGCCTTCTCGGAGGCGGGTGGGGAGACCCAGCAGCTAGGAGCGGCGGCCGCCGTATATTGCGGAGGGGTGACAAGGGCAGCGGATGCCAGGATACCAGCAGGCCATGGAACTGCCTGAGGTCCGAGGGGCCGAGGCACCCGAGGAGTAGTCTGCCCGGAAGCCCAGGAACCCGAATGACCAGGATATAAAGCCAAGGAGCGCAGGCGGCAATGGAAGGCGGGGGGGGGGGGGGCGCGCTGTGGGAGGGGCAGGCTATGGAGGCAACGAAGCTTCGACCTGGTTAAGAAATGATTGAGGGTCAGGCCCCCGCGCGAAGAAGGAGAGAGGGCGCGCGCGCTCTGAACGACCGCATTGTTCGGTATCCCAGGTCTCCTCCCACGTCTGGCCACGCTCAGCCGTCTGCTGAACCACAAGGGGCTCCAGGTTCTCTTCGCCCCAGGCGCCATGCGCTGCGCGCGCCGGGTCAGCGCGGCCGCAGAGCAGGTCCGGCGCCTCGGTTAGGTCTGGCATATTCGCACCACAGTCGCTCATGGCAAGCGTTGGCTCCGGGCCGCGACGCAGCGAGACTGGGGTCGGGGGGCCTCGATCAGGGCAGCCTGTCGCGAGCAAAGCTCGAGCACGCGGCTATCATGCCCCCGCCGCCCTTGGCGCGCAAGACGTCGCGATACGCGGGCCCACGAACGAGGCAGGAAACATTGGCCACGAATCAAATCCCCAGCGCACTGGGACAACGAGGAGGAGACGGCAAGGATGCAAAGGCAGCCCTCGGCGCGAACGCCGCATCGGCCACATCACACACCTGTTTGTCGGTGGGGGGCGGGGGGGGCGATGACCAGGGGATGGCGAGGACGCAAGGGCCGCCGTCGGCGGTGGTTCCACATCGCACACCTGCGCGTCGGCGGGGGCGGCAGCGGCGGCGGCGGTCGTCGCGGTCACGGGCGCGGCGGCGGCCGCGGCGGCAGCGGCCGCGGTCGTGAAGTAAGCGAGCGGGACGTGAGGATGTGAAAGGTTATCGGCGCTTGGGCACGTTTCCGTGAGCCTAGGCTGGGCACTTGGGTCCGCGTGAGTTCTCCGTGGGCCTAGGCTGGGCACTTGGGTCCACGTGGGCACGTCTCCGTGGGAGGTTATGGGCACTTGGGCCCGCGTGCGTTCTCGAGGCTGGATGGGGGGGGGGGCGACCTGGGGCGCGTCTGAACCGACCAAGTGAACTTTTCAACCCGGCGCTGAGGACAAAGCGCCACCCTGCGGAACGCCCTCGCAACAGCGGCCACCCCCCGCAGGCATTCCCGCATCACTGGGGGGGGGGGGGGGGTCGTCGGGCCAGCGCGAGCTGGCAGCTGCGGCAAAGGGCGCCACCAGGAGAGCGAGATTGCCACCCTGCCCCTGGCTCGCCCGAAGGAAAAAACCAGCCAGCGACAACCGTTGCCGAGGTCTCACTCCTCATCCTGCTCATCCTTGTCCTCCCCGACCTCCACTACCATCCTCATCGTTCGTCTCACTCATCATCCTCCCTGACCTCTACTGCCTGCCCATCGCGGGGCAAGCGCCGACGCAGCTCCCTGCTGGAACTAGCGCCAGCGGCCGTAGCCGGAAATGGCCGCAAGGGCCACCGCTGCAAAAGGGAAACCTGAGAAGGCGTTTCCCACAAGCACTCGGCCCGTCTCGTTATCGAGCGCCTCGTCCGCCCCGAAGAAGCCGATCAAGCGGAGGAGGATCTCCCCCTTGATGAGCCTGCGGGCGAGGGTGGCGAGGGCAGGGCAACGGCGGCGAGGGGGCTGGGCGCGAGAGCCGCTTGGGGATCGCTGGGTCTCGGGGGGGGGGGGGGGGGCATCGCGAGCGCAACGCAGCAGAGTCAATGGGGTGACCCCCCCCCCCCCCCCTCCCCGACCTCAACGACGCCGAAATCGGAGCTGAAAGGAAGGGCAGGAGACAACTGACGGGGGGGGTGGCAGCTCGAAGAATGGGGGGGTCTAAGCTACCCTTGCACAAGCAGTGGGCAAGCTGATCCCAAGACACCGAGAAGGACGGCGACCAGGGGCCCTACAGGGTGGTGGGGAAGGAGCGGGGACTTCTGAGCCCCCGCCTACCCTGCCCCGCCCGCCGCCTGCCCCCCTCGTGCTCTCATCCTCCCTCCCCGCGCCTCCACTGGCGGGCGCCGCCCTCCATGGCCATGCGCATCAGGGGCACCGACTTGGTGGTCAAGCGCGGCATGGTCTCGCGGAAGACCGCCCCGTTCCCGTCTGGCCCCGCGCAGAAGGTCAGCGACAAGTTGATATCCGCCCACTGCATCACCCCCGGCTGTGCAGGGCACGGGTCGCACTCTTCGCCATGCAACGCGACCTGCGGCGGAGCGCGGTGTCATTTGCTAAAACGGTCCATATCGCAACGGCCGTGAACACCCCCTGAAGCCACTGGTTTGACTGTCACAACTGTCGACGTCGACTGCAAGACGCCATCGATGAAGTCGGTTCCCATGGGCGAGAAGAGCGACGCATATGACTGCGACGATGGAGGGGGCGCAAGTGCGTGGGGCGCGCGAAAGATGGGGGAAAGAGAGAGAGAGGGCGAGAGAGAGAGAGAGGGAGAGAGAGAGAGAGAGAGAGAGAGAGAGAGAGAGAGAGAGAGAGAGAGAGAGAGAGAGAGAG